ATCGCTACACGCTTTGGGCGTGGCCTTCGCGACTCACCATTGCCATGAAGAACTGGAGCCGGAGGCTCCCAGTATAGCCGAGTACTGATGTTTGTAACCCCATCAGGTAATGGAGCTACATAATTGTACCCAGTTGGCTGATCCTGGATTCTAATGTCTTGAACGATCTTGTTCGTGTCAGGTCGGTCGTGACCCTACGAACCACATGGTCCCATTGAGGGCCCTTCTGTGGACATTGAACGTAGTGTCTGACCTTTTTGTCAACGCGTGTACACATACTGAGGTGTACCGCACTCCGCTCATTCCTGATCATGTTGGCTTTATCGAGTTGATCAAGGAAGCGTGCAATAATAATAGCCAAAGTTTTATACCGAAACTCGGCACGTTGCTGATCTTGGCCATACCAATCCAAATCATGCTCCTTGTGTGATCCACAAGTACATTTCCATAAGTTTAGCGGTATATGAGGACAAGATGTAGCAACTTGTATATAAGAACCACTGGGATATTTACTGGATCGGTCAAACTTGATACCGAAATGACAGAGTCTGATTCGTATAACGCTTAGCTTCAAATCTTCGATAACATCTTTGATCGGACCCTGTTTCCAGAAATACCCGGGTGGCCCCAGGATAACTATCTGCATTCTCAGAGCACGCGCTTTGATCAGGAGATTTTGTATACGTTGATAATGTGGTCCTGCCCTCTTTCCTGGTGTACGCACGTACCAATCAGAGGGTGTGGCCACCCACAACATATTGTAGTCTCCTGCCAACAAATTTCCCAAATACTGTGTTCCAGCTGAAGTCATTACCTCATTATGGGTAATCCGGTCGCATATATATCCACGGGTTCGGAGTTCAGCGCAAGCTGTGCGAATATCTTCGATGACGAGGCATTTTGAATGATATTTTTCTTCTCGGGCCTCAGCGCGCCCAACGTATGTCGCGAGGAGGCCGGTATTCGGCTTCTCTTCGCAAGCGAGCGCCGCCGGCGCGCCCGCCTGCCCCCGTCAGAGGGGCATGCTGTTAGCGGATGACTCCGCAGGCGTCACTGGTGCGGCTGCGCTCACGATCTCCACGCGGGTTGGCCCCGCAAGGTCCGTCGAACCTCCGCCCGTGCAACTTGGTGGTGGTGGCGGTGTCGCGGGTGGCCCCGCTTGGTTCTCAGGCGACCAATTATTCACCGCCTCCTGGACTGCCCAGAAAATCTTAGACTTCAGGGCATCCTTCATGTGTGGCCAGGTCCCTTCAGGACACTGTTGGCCTTTCCACCAGCTGTCGAGCGTCCTGTCTACGATCGCACGGGTCGTGTCCTTCAGGAGCTGCTTGTCGAGATACGGCTCGACAATGAACGCATCAGTCGTAACGGTCATGGACTGTCCCATCGCGGGTTGCCCCGCTGTTACCCCAGCGGGTGACCCCGCACCTACACCGGCGGGTGGCCCCGCATTGACGGAGTCCTCGTCGTTCTCCGTCTCGGTGTAGCCGTCATGACTACTGCGGATTGTGAAGGTGTTGGTGACCGTCTGGCTTTTAGCCCCGTCATACAACCCGCAGGGAATGGCTAGGTGTCCTGAGGGGGTCTTCTTTGCCCTCAGGACCTTGGCGCCCTTCCCCAGCTTAAGAGTATAATCTCCGCTGGGGAAGATAACCTTCTGGAAGCCTGGCTTCAGCACGATGATTGTGTCACGTGCTTCCATGGCGCCCAGGCCCCAGATGGCTGGGAGGTTTGCACCTGAGCCCTCTGCGATGTTGGAAGCATTCTCCTCGATGCGGGGGCTTGCCTCATTGGCGTATTGCACCCCGATCTTGAAGTTGCCCATTTTCCGACAGATCGCAGCACCCTCACCTACACCATTGATGTAGAGGGTTTTGCTCAGTGTGCACATGGCCGGTCTGTGATTGTACCTGGCCATAACCTCCTGAAAGGTTCGTGCTGTATTAGCTCCGATGATGTTCACGTTGGAGCCAATGTCTAGCATGAACGATATGCAGGGCATTCCGTCTTCGTCGGGGAAGAATGTCCCTGTCCGCGCCGCCAGAGCCATCGTACCATGGCCATCAGGATGGTGCGTAATCTGTGAACCGAGCGTGCCTTTCAGTAGGCGTTGTTCCAGCACCCACTGGCTCATTGTTAGCTCGGTGCACCATATTTGCTCATATTGGCGGCGCTCCTCCACGGTAATTGGTTCCTGTTCGAGAACCAAATAATTCGCAGAGAGTGTGGAGGTCCACTCACCTCCTGGCGGAAGCGTATCCGTGACGTCACGTGTGTAGGTCAGCCCTTCCGTGTTGATCATAAAGGTATTGTGGAATTGGGCTGCCTCCGCGCTCTCGGCACTGGCCCGGCTTCTAGCGCTTACCGGACTCTCTACACGTGAGGTTCTGGATCCGCCTCCGCTCCTGCCACTCCGCCTAATATTGGCCTCCATTGCCCTCAGGAATCCCGGATTCGGAGGTCCATTTGCGGGTGACCCCGCTTTGGCGGCAGGAGCCGCTTCGGCGGGTGGCCCCGCTGTGGCGGCGGGAGTCGCTTCGGCGGGTAACCCCGCTGCTGGGGGCCCCTGTGCTCGAAGCGTAGGCAGGATCGGCATCTGGATGCCTTGCTCTGGCGCTGCGGCACGAGCCTCTAGCGCCTCCACTGCTTCCCGCAGCCGACGCAGTTCCCGAGCATCCACCACGTATCTTTCCTGCTGGCGCGCCTGTTCCGACTCAGCGTCGCGCTGTCCAGCATACGGAAAGTGTGCTGTGATTATGCCCGGCCCACGACATACAGCGCAGGGTGCCTCGTTTGGCGCACCTGGTCGCTGATTGCGGACGTGCTGCTGTGCAACACGATCCCAGCATATATCGTGGAAGAAGTGCCCACACGCCAGTCTCCACACCGTGGTGCCCATCTCGTAGGGGTCCATACAGATTGGGCACTGTGTGAAGTTGTAGTCTGAAATGACTGGAGTAGGCACGTCAGGGCGTGTCCGAGCCTGACGCTCGAAGGTAGTTTCACCCTCCCGATATGGCGTCGGTGGTGGCGGTCTATCTGTCTGTTCAGCGGGTGGCCCCGCGCCTGCGGGTGTCCCCGCTTGGTTATCACGCTCGATCCTTCTCTGGATCGCGCGCTGTTGGCGCAGCCTAGCGCTGTCCCGAGCCTGCTGCCTAGATGCCAGTATCGCTTGCTGCGTGTTGTGCGCGTCGCGAATGTAGTCTGGCATGCTGCCCAGAGCGGTTGGCACCGCGAGACCAGCTGGCTGAACTACGGTCTCGGGGTCCGTCGGCGTGGGCATGTAGGCGTAGTGCGGCATAGACTGCGCATCGACTGCTCGTGTATACTGCAAACGAAACATCTCATTGGCCAGATTTCGAGTGTATTCGTTTGCAGGTGGCCCCGCAATCATAGGAGTGTTATTCACCTGCGCGTAGTACTCCGGGTACATCGGCGCATCCATGGCCGGTGCCTCTGCTGGTCCATGATTATCCCATCCATATATTGGGTGTGATGCTATTCCTGGAATAAACACCTGTCGATATGGATTCGCGGGATCAGCATTCGGAGCGTCATCAGAAGTCCAGCTCCAGAGAGGCCGAAAGTCGCCATGATTCGTAACATCTATGTTGCGGTTCCGCAACAGGCTGGGCACTCTATCAGCTTGTTGCTGCAAAAAGGTAGCCTGTGCTCTCAAATTGGCTGCCCGACGTTCGTAGTCTGAGCCTTGTTGTCCGTCAGCGGGTGGCCCCGCGTGTGCGGATGACTCCGCAGGCGTTCGCTCGGCGGGTGTCCCCGCAGCCACTCCTCCTTCACTACCCCTCGGAGTGCCAAAGGGAGTGGTCGCCTGGAGTGCTGCTGCGAGCGCCGGATTTCCGCGAATCGCCTGGAGTCGTTGCCACAGGCTGTTCTCGCTCGTTTCAGACGGCGGAGTCCGAAACGGCGAGCCACCATCTGAGCCGCCCATAGGAGCAAACCTCGCAACTCCAGCTTGCTGTGGAGGGCGTTGTGGTTGTGGTCCTAGGACGCCTGGTGGCCCCGCAGGAGGGCGCAGGTTCCTCTGCTGTGCATCTTGGATACCTGCATGCACCGCCCACGGGTCAGCACGGTATAGCTGATCGGTCAGTCCAGAAACGTCGGCTGATGTCAAATGGCTGTTGAGAGCTTGGACCCAGGACTGCTGGTCCGGCCTCCAAGGAGATGCTACCGTCGCCACCGGTGTGACTACTTGCTGCCATGAACCGTCTGAAGTGTCTACTGCGGGTGTCCCCGCACCTGCGGGTGGCCCCGCTGCAGGCATAGCCTCGTCCTCCTGGGCATTCATCATGAGGACTGCCTGTGTTTCGAACGGTCGTGGAGCAACATCTTGCTCGGTCATGACCAAATTGAATGGACGACCTTCCGTCTTCATCCAACCCTTGAGGTACATGGCGTGATCTTCCATTACAGCCAGAGTTCTGTCACACATTTTGAGTGGCAGGTAGTCGTCAGTGCGAATCCTGTCTGCGGGTTGGCCCCGCTTCCGCGTCTTGTCATAAAACAGCGGATTGCTCCAGGCTTCGCCGACCCGATACTTCGCAATGCTCACGATCTGCATGATATGATCGGGCGGTATACGTCCATCGTGGCCCCTTGTCATGACTATGTCATTTGCTGATCTCCATAGAGAGAAGCCACTGGACAGCATTTTGTTGATGCTGCAGAATATGAGCACCTCCGAGTCAGGACGGATACCCGATTGTATCCTCTTGTCGCCCGGGAGGTAGGGGCAGCCATGCACAAATTGGCGCCCCCCCTTCCTCTTCGGGTTGTCCTGTGCGAGGCACGAAAGGCCATTGTCCAGAATGCTCTTGACATACTCCCACTTTGTCCCGTGGATGAAATATACCGGGTCGTCCGGTTCTTTCGCCCATGTTGTGATCGGCCTGAACAACGACTCGGGACAGTGGACGCCTGGACTGCTGTGGCCATTCGTAGCTCTGATGAAGTACTGTGGCCTGCGGTTCGTTGGTCGAAACCTTTGCGGCAGCAGCAGGCTATCATCAACGCACTTCATCTGGAGCCTGCCCTTCTGCATGCCGTGATGATCAATTATCTCACAGCAGTTTAGCAGCACCCAGTACACGAATGACGTGTGGGGCCTGCCCTTGATCAGCACTTCGTGCATGTCACGATAGTGTTTATACTGATCATTTTCCTTCCAGTTTGTCAGCAGATCGTCGATGACAACCCAGCCGTCGTACGGATCGAAAGTGCTGACCTTCTCGAAGTATCGATTGTGTTTGTCCTTATAATATGGACTGTGGCGCAGAGCCGTCGAAAACCAGATCGATATCTTGGTCATCTGCTCCTTACTCGGCAGGGTCGGATCAGCGCCATTCTGTTGCATGACCTTCAGGAGCGATTCTCTATGCTGCGCAACACGTAGTGGCGGCCTGTCTCGCAGCATGTTTCCCACTTTCTGTTGTTCGCGCTCCCAGTCATTCTGGCACTTGAAATTCCGACGAACCGGACAGTTGATGACTTCATATCGGTCCGTGTCGTCTGGAGTGACTCGTGGGTTGATTGGCTGCCTCGGCCCCTTGTCGTCAATGCCCTGCCAATACAACAGACATTCCAAGGGAATGGTCCTCAGAGCGGACAGTGTTGGTAATGCCGCCGGTGGCGCTTTAACGGCTGGCCCAGCTAATGCAGCTGGCGCCGCTTTAGCGGGTGGCCCCGCTAATGCGGCTGGCGCCGCTTTAGCGGGTGGCCCGCCAGAGCCTGCGGCTGACGAGGCAGCTCCTGCGGATGACTCCGCGCCAGGGTTCGGGTGACCTTTGTCAGTAGCTGCATCATCGGTTAACTTTTGTTGGTCGCCAAACTCTTTGAGGACTCTGAAACGCTCTTCTCTTGAGAGAGTACTTTCTGCGGGTGTCCCCGCTGTTGCGGCTGGCGCCGCTTTAGCGGGTGGCCCCGCAGAACCTTTGTCCTCCTTGGCCTTGGCGGCCTCTTCTGCCCGCACCGACCTCATCCCGGCTTCGGGCTTCGGCTGCGCTTTCATTCGTGCCGAGCCGGGTTGTGGTGTAAGGCGTGGCTGATGCAGCGTTGGAGTCCAGTCACCTCGGAAAGCTGCTTTAGGCTTGTCACGAACTTCATCCTTGACATCGCCTTGGGTCGCTGGAGGCATCGGGGTCGATGGTCCAGCAAAGACCTTCTTCCTCTCTGTCACCGATGGACCAGGAGGATCTGCCGGCTCAGGGTCGTCCGTCTTGGCGACCGCCCTGACCTTCGCCCGCCCCTGCGTGTCTTCGGGACTCTTGGACGAGTGCCTTTTTGCAGGAGTCGGTGACGATGAGGAGTCGGCTTTAGGTCTTGGAGGTGGTCTGCTGCCCTTGCCTGGTCGTGGACCAGGAGGGTCTCTCGGAGGGCCTTCTGGCTGGCCATGATCATGGATAACCTGCCTCATCTGGTCGATGTCGGCAACACCCTTTATGGCCAGCTTGTATTTGCCATTCTCATGGCGGTAGAGTACCCTCGTGCAGAACCACTTTTGCGCCGTAGAGCTGTAGTACCAGCAGGCGCTTCCGTCAGGGAACGGATTTTCTGAGCCATCTTCTGCCGCCCATTCCTCATTTAGTTCGGTTCGGTCAGTGCCGGCGGCAGAGGCAACATCTATCCATTCATCCTCCGCAGTTCCAGCGGCTGGTGGTGCTTCTGCGGGTGACCCCGCTTCCTTACTGGATTCTGCGGGTGACCCCGCTTCCCCACTGGGTTCTGCGGGTGACCCCGCTTCCCCACTGGATTCTGCGGGTGACCCCGCCTCCTTGTGGAATCGGCGGTTCCACTCCTTGAGGCGATGGTCATTGGGGAGCTTTGCCCAATTCTCCCTGACGGTGTTGGCCACTCCTTCGGTCATAGGGACGCGATCGGCCTCAGCGATGCGCTTCCCCCCTCCAGGAACCTCTTTGTTTGGGTCATGGACGTTGCCAGCGTCGTCTCCATGAGACCAATTCCACGGGGTCTCTCCGTGGTGAGGGCTCCTGGAAGGGCGGTCCATCGGACACCTGCGCATGTGGCCTTTAAAGGGCTCACACTGACACACCTGTTTTCTGTACGTTTTGCGGTCAGTGATGATCTCCTGCTTCTTCGCCCTTTTGTCCCAGGCCTCTGGCGTCTTGGTTTTGCCGCCCTTGGTACGGATTATTGCGCCAGTCTCGTCCCTTTTGGTGCAGTATTCCTTAGAATACCAATGCCGAAGAGTCTCCATAGAGTAGCCGGGGTACCATTTAATGTACCAATCCGGCACCTGCTGAGCAGATACTCCAACGGAGTGCTCAGTGCTATATGGGTAGCCCGATTCGTCGTGCGTAGGGCGTCTAGGAGCAGAGCGGCTCCTTCCGCGGGCTGGCCCCGCTGACGCACGCACTACCATGTGTCACTGGCCTTTGATCGTCCTGCTCGGAGTCTCGGGGAGGCGACGGTCGCCTGTCCCTCTTGGCGTACCGCATTTCATCCGAGTCCTCTGAGCTGTCCTGGGCCATGAACACGTTTTGATACGGGCTCCTGAAGTATCCGATGTCATTTAACTGCTCCATCGAGAGGTCGTTAATATTCATTTGATCGCAACCTTGCATGAATACATCCATAGACCAAGCGGGTGGCCCCGCTGTTGTGTCTAGCATCTCCTCGGCGGGTGACCCCGCTAGAGCTTGGAGTGCTGTGAGCATCTGAGATGCTGACATGTTCGAATCCAAGTATGGACGTAGACGTGCAACTCCTGGGTGTGACAGCAGTTCGTTCATCGTCATCTGCTGCTGTGCTGGCGCACTCAAGAGTCGGATTGCTTCTGAAACCTGCTCTTGGAGCATGTCGTTGTAATCTTCTTCGGATTCTTCGGAATCGGAATACGCGGGATGGCCCCGCATTTCGTCATCGGCGTCTCCCATCTCCGAACCAGCCCCCGACGGATTTGGCAGCAACGGCATGCCAATCACTTGTGGGGCCAGCGCGGCGGTGAGTTCTTCCTCTGTTGCCGGGACGGTCTCGGCTTCGGAGACCTCGTCACCGGCGGGTGGCCCCGCTGGAAGACCGAACCAAGCGTTGTACGCAATCTCATCGACCTCGTCCCAGCCGTGGAACTCGTCGAAGAGCGTCACTGCGTAGTCTTCCAGGGCCACAGTTGCTTCAGCATAGCGGGCCATCACGTAATACGTGGAGGAGCCCGCAGCGGGAGCCGCTTCTGGATTGACGTAAAACTCGTAGTCAATATAATCTATGTCATCCATAAAAGAGTTTTGAGCCAAATGTACGGATCCCTTTCCTTTCCCCTTCGGGCATTGATCGCGCAAATGCTCTGTGCTACCGCATGTATGACACTTCATAGTATTACCAGAAGCGTCCCTAGGGTTGCCCCTCCGTCCCTTCCCCTTACCGGAGGTCCGCCTGTGACCTCGACCTTTGCCTCCGATAAGAACTTCTTCAAAAGCCATATCAGTTAAGGACGTGAGGAAAGCAGTAATACCCCTACCATGCATACGGCGTCTGCGACCCCCTTTACCACGACCCTTTCCAAATTGTTTGAAATGTCGGCGTACTGCACGTCTCACCTTTCTGACTGGTTTCTTCATAAAGCGCCTCCAACGCCCCAGAGGGTTGTGCCCGAGGGCGGGCTTGCAGTGTAGGCGGCGCCTGGCGAGTAGTTCGACCAGGCATTCGCCTCAGCTGCCTCTGCCGATGCCTGGCCGGTCTGCCCTAGAAGGGCAGTGGCCTCGTTGGGCATATCGGCTGGGTCAGCCCAGGGATTTGGCTCGCCAGGACCAGCGGGTGACCCCGCAGTCGTGGCATAGACACCTGCATGTGAGTGGTGCCCTGTGAAGATACCCGCTATGTTGCCAGGAGAGCGCTCGGCAACATGTCCGTAGTTCCTCATCCTGGTCAGCAGCCTGTCATAGTCTGCTTGTGTTCGGGGCATCTGATGATTAAGGGCTCAAGCAGGTGTTGGGCTCGTGACGCGCCAACGCCTAACGCTCTGAAGAGAATCAGCGTTAGGATCTGAAAGTTGGGGATGACAAAGCCAACAGAGTTAGCCTCGTCACGGGCCATCTCGAATCGAGCTAATACCGAGTCGATTCGCTCGCCCCTTTCGACGCGGAAGTCGATAAGGGCCGTGCCAGAGTTGAGCTGGCGCTCATCTTCCAGATTTTCAAATTTGGTGCTCAGTAAGTACAGTATGTAGGTTACTGCATCCGTTGGCTGTCCATTGACAGTTACACCATAATTGATGATCTGGGAGGGGACCTGCATGGCGATACGACGAGCCAGACCCTGAAGGCCTCGTTGTAGTGCTGCAGCTTGTTGTGGTGGTGTCATATTGCCGCTCGTTACGTTTAACCATGCATGTACTTCGCGAACATATTCGCGGAAAGGCGCAGTACCGGCAGGGTCCCATGTAGGGCCAGTAGTACGCGTGTCGTCCATCCCCTGCCGCATGTATCCCACAGCACATCCCATTATCACCCATAGAATGCCGAAGATAGTTATCTTGATCCAATGCATATGCATTTCGGCTTCGGTGATTGGTTTAGGCTGTGGTTTGTCAGGCTCTGGCGTGGTAGCCGTGAGGCGCCTGACCGGCACGGGATGCAGGTGGCCCCGCTGCGGGTAGCCCCGCAGGGTGACCACGTTCTCGATCGAGTTGCCGATTGGCATCTGGTGGAAGTCAGGAGTGAAGTGGCGCAGTGAAGTAGGAGAAAGCGTCTCGAGTTCGCGGGTGACCCCGCTAGCTCGATCGCGGACTGGCTCCGCTCCTCGCAGAGCCGGCGCAACATGGTATTCCACCGTAGTAGTAGTCCACCAAGTTGTGCCGTGGATTACAGGAATCAGAGCGAGAGCCAGCCACACGAGAGTGTAGCCAGCTCCGCTACCAAGTCGAAAACAAGCTGGTAAGCTTAGGTATACAGTCCGCCTTAGGCGCTTCCATATCCCAGGCTTAGGCTCATAGCGCATGAGCAAGAGAGCGAGACGAAGCATGGGATCTGGAGTAAAGAGTAAGATGGGCATCGTCAATGGAAAGGATGTTTTCCGATCTCAGATGCAAGTAGTGCGCCTCGGTGAGGCACAGTCACATATTAGGCCGGGCCCGGCTTGAGCCAGGCACGGCAGCGGTACATGCTCGATTTATACCTCGCCTTTAACCTTCTCCGTTTAAAGTTTCCAACATACTCCGCTCCAAGACTGGTCCAAGTGTTCTTGGGGGGCTCCACAGGATGCCCCCAAGAGGCCAAATTCCGACCAACACCTAAGAAACATCACTGAGTTAGGCCTTCTTGCCCGTTCGTTTCCGATAGTCTTCCGAGGCCTCAAGATGGCCCCAAGAGGGCCCAAGAGCGACCCAAGACGGACCCAAGA